CTCCCGACGGTGATATCGGTCTCACTGAACTTGTCCATTTCTGCCACAAATCTCACCATAGCCCATGTTGCTCCGAGACCTATAAGATTCTGCACAATATAGCTTCCCATTAAGCAGCATTTTTGATTGACCGGCACGAACCATTCCTGAACATGCCAAGTAACAAAGTTTTTAGGTGTAGGGTTTTCTTTGGGATATGATGGGACATGGGCACAGTTGGCAAAATCAATATTTGGGGCCCATCTCTAATTGCTGTTGAAATGAGTGGCTTGCTGGCACAGTTGAAGAGGACATTGCTGTGGATCTGGTGTCACATATAGGTCATGAAGATGACAGAAATCTTTCTTGGAAGGGCATTAGTGAAATGGATGTTTCTTTTTTTTTAAACTTTAGATGATAATTATCATGGTCACCATTACTGAGGGGACTAGCTTCACGTTCCAAATGTTATTAGGTGCATGTAAGTTCCACCAGCTGCAGTGGTATTTCATCCTGTGTTCCCAGAGGATTAACCTGACCTCTGGATTACTAGCCCAGTGCCATTAGCACTATTTCACTCTACCACCACGTTGCTTCAGAAAGCCAATCTGAATATTCTAAATAAAGCCTCTAACCAGCTCTTGTCAAAAGATATGAAAATTACAGATGCCTATTTAAAGCAACTTTGTTTTTTGCAACTAGCCTCTCTAACCTCTGAATTAATGCATTATAGCTGTTTTTGGAAGGCCGCTGCCTTTATAGTTTTAGATCCCTTCTTATTTCTCAATCGTGACCATTTGCTTTCCTCTGATTGTTCTTATTCTGGCTTGCTGATGTTGTAATAACAGCTCTGACTAGCAGGCCTACCCTTCTCCACGTCCAAGCACCCCAAAGCTGGATTTTTCAAATGGGTGTGAGGTGGGTTGGAGAGTGTGATGGAGGGAAGAGTTTGGGTGCCAGATCGCAGAGGGCAGTGTGGCGTTGAAGTGGGCCACTGTCATTGGCAGATGGAGCAGGTGGGTTGCCTAACTGAGAAAGGGGGACGAATAAGGGAGGTGTAACTGCCTTATCCTAACAAACTCCATTCACCCCTATGGCCCATGTGGTCTAACTTGCCATACTTTGCCTCTGACCCTCACTTCCTGCCTCAAGAATGGTGACTATGTGAGAAGCAGCCTTAAAGTGACCATTAAATGGACAATTTAAGGTACACATTGGGGGCATGAGGCGGATGGACCAGAAGACATGTGTTTTAGGCCACACTTCCATACCCCAGTAAAATCACTGACAGGTTGAAAATGGGTAGGTCATCAGAGGAAGGATGCTGACACGCATCTATGCCTCCCTCCCCTCATCCTGATAGATAACGACCATCAAACCATCATCTCCCAAACCATCCACAACCTCATCACCTCAGGTGACCTCCCACCCACAGCTTCCAACCTCATCATTCCCCAACCCCGCACCGCCCGCTTCTATCTCCTTCCCAAAATCGACAAACCTGACTGTCCTGGTCGACCCATTGTCTCTGCCTGCTCCTGCCCCACCGAACTTATCTCCACCTATCTCGACTCCATTTTCTCCCCCTTGGTCCAGGAATTCCCTACCTACATCCGTGACACCACCCACGCCCTCCACCTCCTCCAGAACTTCCAATTCCCCGGTCCCCAACACCTCATCTTTACCATGGACATCCAGTCCCTATACACCTGCATTCCCCATGCAGATGGCCTAAAGGCCCTCCGCTTCTTCCTGAACCGCAGGCCCGACCAGTCCCCCTCCACTGACACCCTCGTCGGCTTAGCCAAACTCGCCCTCACCCTCAACAACTTCTCTTTCAATTCCTCCCACTTCCTACAGACAAAGGGGGTGGCCATGGGTACCCACATGGGCCCAAGCTATGCCTGCCTCTTTGTAGGTTACGTGGAACAATCCCTCTTCTGTAGCTACACTGGCCCTAAACACCACCTCTTCCTCCGTTACATTGATAACTGTATTGGCGCCGCCTCGTGTTCCCACGAGGAGCTCGAGCAGTTCATCCACTTCACCAACACCTTCCACCCCAACCTTAAGTTCACCTGGACCATCTCTGATACCTCTCTCTCCTTCCTGGACGTCTCTGTCTCCATCTCCGGCAAACACCTAGAAACCGATATCCATTTCAAGCCCACCGAGTCTCACAGCTACCTAGAATACACCTCCTCCCACCCACCCTCCTGCAAAAACGCCATCCCCTATTCCCAATTCCTTCGCCTCCGCCGCATCTGCTCCTAGGATGAGGCATTCCGCTCCCGTACATCTCAGATGTCCTCGTTTTTGAAGGACCGCAACATCCCCCACTCAGTGGTCGAGAACACCCTCGACCATGTCTCTTGCATTTCCCGCAACTCATCCCTCACACCCCCTCCCCACAATAACAACCAAAACAGAATCCCCCTCGTCCTCACGTACCACCCCACCAACCTCTGGATCCAACGCATCATCCTCTGACACTTCCACCATCTGCAATCTGACCCCACCACCAAAGACATTTTTCCCTCCCCACCCTTATCTGCCTTCCGGCGGGACCACTCTCTCCGTGACTCCCTTGTCCGCTCCACACTCCCCTCCAGCTCCACCACACCCGGCACTTTTCCCTGCAACCGCAGGAAGTGCTACACCTGCCCCTACACCTCACCCTTCACCCCCATCCCAGGCCCCAAGAAGACTTTCCACATCAAGCAGATGTTCACCTGCACGTCTGCTAATGTGGTATACTGTATCTGCTGTACCCGTTGTGGCCTCCTCTACATCAGGGAAACCAAGCGGAGGCTTGGCGACCGCTTTGCAGAACACCTACACTCGGTTCGCACTAAACAACTGCACCTCCCAGTTGCGAACCATTTCAACTCCCCCTCCCATTCCTCAGACGACATGTCCATCCTGGGCCTCCTGTAGTGCCACAACGATGCCACCCGAAGGTTGCAGGAACAGCACCTCATGTTCCGCTTGAGAACCCTGCAGCCCAATGGTATCAATGTGGACTTCACAAGCTTCAAAATCTCCCCTCCCCCTACCACATCCCAAAACCAGCCGAGCTTCTCCCTGCCCTTCCTCCCACCTATCCCCTCCTCCCACCTCAAGCCCCACCCCCATCTCCTACCTACTAACCTCATCCCGCCCCCTTGACCTATCTCCTCCCTAACTCCCCACCTACACTCACCTTTACTGGCTCCATCCTCCGCCTCTTTGACCTGTCTGTCTCCTCTCCACCTATCTTGTCCTCTATCCATCTTCTATCCGCCTCCCCCCTCTCCTTATTTATTTCAGAACCCCCCTCCCCCTCCCCCATTTCTGAAGAAGGGTCTAGGCCCGAAACGTCAGCCTTCCTGCTCCTTTGATGCTGCTTGGCCTGCTGTGTTCATCCAGCTCTACACCTTGTTATCTCAGATAATCTAGTTAAACCTGCAAATGACGGATAGTGGCTTGACTTCTCTTTTATAGCTCAAACTGGAGCTCCAGTACGCCTAGTGTATCATCTCCAAATATGTATTTTTTTCTAGTTTCTACCTCTATCTCCAAACTGGATGGTTGGGGACAGTGAAATTCTTCCCCATCTTTCTGAAACATAATTACCTCCCAGTCAGCACCAGCTGGTCTCTATAAAAAGCCCCCGGTCATACCATTAGAACTCAATCTAAGCCTCACATTAATTCCACTGACTGTTTATTCTACTGTCTGTGTATTTGTATCTAAAGATCTTATTTAGGCAAGAAACATGCCCTCCTATCCCAGTGCTGCCTGAACACTGCAGTTGACCCTCTGTAAACAGGTTAATGTTTTAACTGTAGGATCTGTATCACTGTTTGTGATCTGAATTCTTCCCTTATCCCTGTCTTAAGACTAATTATTACTGTTTCTGACTGACATCCCACTCTTGTCTTTCAGTTTAAAGTCCTGTTTATGCTCCTCTGTATCTTTTCACTGGGATTCTCTTGGGTTAGGTTTGGTACAGAGATGAACTTCAGTTGACTTTAATTTTTCCAGCGTGCAGATTCTGCCTGGGACAGTTTAATGAAAGCTTGCTTTGTCCTTCCTGTCTGCAGTGGGTGGCTGTGCCAGCTGGAATGATCTGCATGAGCAGAGTGAGACTGACTACAGTTCCTATTATCTCTGAGACTGACTACTAGCCAAGATTCCAGGAGGGAGCAGTGCCCAAGCTTGCTTTGTGCCCATCAGGCAAAGGCAGGGTCGGGTTGGGTTGGTGTCAAACACCCAGGGTTTAATGACTGGTTTGTACCTGGAGTGTCCCGCACCAGGGCCTTTGACAAGCTTGTAGTTGGAATCTGATTGGTGGGCAGATCCAGGAAGTGGAAGTTGCCCCAGCTTTGCTTGCCTAACTAAGACCTTTAGACACAAACTCTGATGGATTTCCTGTCAATGCCAGGCTGGATGGAGCCAATATGACGGTAATGTGTAACTCAGTTTTCAATGCACATAATTGTTTTTTGCTTTGCTGCTTCAATTGGAAAGTTCCAACCGAAAGAGCTGATGGTGTCTGTGTATGCGCATGTTCTCTTCCTGACTGGGGGTTCTCTTTCTGACAGTGTGTCTGTTCTTTTTCTTACTGTATTTGAGTGTTGTGTGTCTTTTTGTTCTCTCTCTGACTGCATTTTGGCCTGATAGCTTTCTCACTGCATTTGGATGTGTTTTTTTTCTGAATGAGCATTCACTTTATGACTAAGTGTTCCCTTTGTTTGTGTATGTGTGTTCCCATTCTGGCCATATGTTCCCTCACTGGCTGCCTCCTCCCTCACCGGCTGTCATTTTTCTGTCTCTGGTGTCATTTCTCTCCCTGACTGCCATGTCTCCCTGGCTACCTGTGTGTGTGACGTCTGTTTTTCTGACTGTGTGTCATCTTTCTGTCTGTATATGTTCTCTTTCTGACTGTGTGTTGTCTTTCTGACTGCAATTGTGTCTGTTCTCTTCTTTGTGTTCTCTTTCTGACTGCGTTAATGCATATTCTCTTTCTGACTGGGAAGAGTGCCCTGCAGTCAGCATCGCAGTGAAGCCAACATGTGTGGAGTGAACCTGGGGATAAACAGCAGCAGTGCAGCCTCCCAGTAAAAGTTTGAATGGCAAGGCCCAGATCGAGCTCAGTCGGAGCAGTGGCAGCAACAGAGAGGAGCAAACCTTCAGTGAATCCAGAGGCAAAGCTCCTCAAATGGACTGGCACCTGGATTCAAAAAATGACGTGGGCAAGCAGAAGCAGCTCTTTTGGATGATTAAGGGTGAGTATTTGTACTATTTTTATAACTTATACTAGTTTGTAATGTCTTTATTTTGAGTTTCTAGTTTATAAGAGCAATTGAGCAGACAAGATGGATGGGCCCAGAAGTAATTAATATTTTATTTTAAGTTCAGTTTAGTTTAAAGCATAGAAGGATAGCTCAAGGCTGTGGTGTGCTGCTCCTGCTCTGTGGGAAGTCGGGCACAGTTCCAGTGCTGGGGAGCAGAATATGTGCAGGAAGTGTTTCCAGCTGCAACTCCTGGAACTTCAAATTTTGCTGCTGGAGAGGCAGCTGGGGATACTTTGGGGAATCCGCAAGGCTGAGAGTGATGTGGATAGCATGTACAGAGAGGTGGTCAGTCCACAGATATGAAGGGAATGGATAACCACCAGGCAGAGAAGATGACTAGACAGGCAGTGCAGGAGTACCCTCTGTCTATTCCCCTGCAAAACAGGTATACTGCTTTGGGTACTGTTGGGGGGAAGGGCCTCTCAGAGGAAAACAGCAACAGCAAAACTTGTCGCACCACGGCTGGTTGTGCTGTATGGGAGAAGAGGAATAATTGTGGGAATGCTAATATAACAGTGCATTCAATTGTTACATGATTAGACAGACGTTTCTGTGGCCACAAACAGGACTGCCGGGATGGTATGTTGCCATCCAGGTTCTAGGGTCAAGAATGTTTCAAATCGGCTATAGGACATTTTTGGGTGGGAGGGTGAACAGCCAGTAGTCATGGGGATGAGACCCTAAAAGCTCAATATAGTGAATTCGAAAGCAAGTTAAAAAGTCGGACCTCAAATGTAGTGATCTTAGCATTACTAACAGTGCCATGTGCTAGCCAGAGTAGAAATAGCAGGATATGAGCGCGTGTTCTCTTTCTCTCTGCACTTTTTTTTCTGATGGATTCATGTGTGTTCTCATTCTGACTGTGTGCTCTCTTCCCTTGTGCATTTGTTCGAGTTCATTTTTGTTGCGTGTTCTGTATCTGAATATGTGTTCTCTTTCTGACTGTGTATTGCCTTTCTGACTGTGTGATCACTTTCTTACTGCGTGTTCTCATTCTGACTGCAAGATCGCTTTCTGACTGAGTATGCCTTTTCTGACCGCGTTCTCTTTCTATTTACATTTTTGAATGTCTTCACTTTGACTGCATGTTCTCATATTGTTTGCATGTTCTCGTATTGATTGCGTGTTCTCATATTGAGTATGTGTTTTCTTTCTGACTCGTTATTTTTCTGACTTCATCTGTGCATGATTTCTTTTTGATGGTGTGTTTTCTGTCTGACTGTGTCTTATCTCTCTGACTCTATGTTCCCTTTCTGACTGTGTGTTATCTTTCTGACAGGGTGTTCCTTTTCTGACTGTGTTCTTTTTCTGACTGTATTTGTACATGTTCTCATATTGATTGCATGTACTCATTTTTACTGCACTTCTCCAATTGGCTGTGTGTCCTTGTACTGATTGTGCACTCTCTTTCTGACTGTTGTATTTCAGACTTCATTTGATGTGATCATTCTGAGTCACTATGCTTTGTCTGATGGTGTGTGCTTTTTCTCTCTGTGTTTCTCTTTCTGTCTGCATGTTATCTTTCTCACTGCATCTTCTCTTTCTGAGTGTTGCATTTCTGACTGAGTGTTGCTGTGTGTTGTCTTTCTGACTATGTGATCTCTTTCTAACTCTGTGTTCCCTTTCTGACTGTGTGATCTCTTTCTGGCTGTGTGTTATCTTTTCTGGCTCTGTGTACGATTTCTGAGTGTGTTCTCTTTCTGACCCTATTTGTTTGTGATCTCCCACTGAGACCATGTCATCTATCTGATGGTATGTTCTTTTTCTTACTGCGTGTCGACTTTCTTGACTGCGCATTCTCTTTCTGATGGCATGGTCTCCTTCTGACTGCATGTTCCTTTTCTGACTGTGTGTTCCTTTTATGAATGTACTTTCTGAATTTCTGTGCGATTTCTTTCTAAGTGTGTGTTCTCTGTCTGAAGGTATATTCTTTTTCTGACTACATGTTATCTTTTTAATTGCCTATGGAGCTTCAGACTGTGTTATCTTTCAGATTGCATTTTGCTCTCCAATTGCATGTTGACTTTCTGACTGTGTTCTCTTTCTGATAGCATTTGTACATGATTCCATTTTGACTGTATATTCTCATTTCTATTGGGTGCTTTGCAATGGACTGGATGTTCTTGTATTGAGTACCTGTTTTCCTTCTGACTCATGTGGTTTTGACTTGACTTGCATATGATTTCTTTCTGATGACGGTTCTTCTTCTGCCTGTTTATCTCTCTGACTGTGTAACCAAGTGTTGTCTTTCTGACCGAGTGTTGTCTTTCTGACCATGAGTTGTCTTTCTGATTGTGTATTCCCTTTCTGTCTGCATTAGTGCATGTTCTCGTTTGACTGCATGTACTCATTTTGAGTGTACGTTCTCCAGTTGATAGCGTATTCTCATTTGAAGTATGTCCTTTTTCTGACTTGTGTTGTTCTTCTGACTTCATTTTGCATGATCTGAGTATGTGTTCTCTTTTCTGATGTGTTTGTGTGCACTAACTTCCTGTCTGTGTATTCTCTTTCTGACAGTGTTCTGTTTCTGACAGAAGTTACCTTTCTGTCTGTGCATTTGCTTTCGCTCTGCGCATTCTCTTCCTGTCTGCCTTTCTGTTTGGCCTCTTTCTGACAGTTTGATTTCTTTTTGACTGCCCGTCTGTCCTTCTTCTAACCGCATTTTCTCCTTCTGATTGCCTGTTCCTTTTTTGACCTTGTGTTGCCTTTCTGAGTGTGGGTTCTCTTTCTGAGTTTATTTGTGTGTAATTTCTCTCTGAGTCTGCGTTCTCTGTCTGAAGGTATCTTCTATACTGACTACGTGTTTGTGTAGATCGTGTGTTGTCTTTCTGACCAGGTGTTGTCCCTCTGATTATGTGATCTCATTTTGTCTGTGCTTTCGTGTGCTCTCTTTCTGAGTGTGTGTGCCTATTCTGTTCGTTCTCTATCTGACTGCCCTTTCTCTTTCTGATTGTGCAGTGTCTTTCTGACTACATGTTTCCTTTATGTCAGTGTGATCACTTTCTGGCAAGGTGTTCCCTTTTCGATTGCATGTTCCCCTTCTAAATGTGTGTTCTCTTTTTTTACTGTGGTTTTGTCCATTCTGTTTCTGTCTGTGTGTTCTCTTTTAGACTTCATTAGTAGATGAATTCTTTCTGAATGCACATTCTCTTTCTGAAGGTGTATTCTCTTTCTGACTGCGTGTTCCTTTTCTGACTTTGTGTTCCTTTTTTGACTTTGTGTTCTCTTTCTGATTCCATTTGTGCTTGATCTCTAACTAAGGTCCTGTTCTCCTTCTGAAGGTATGTTCTTTTTCTGACTGTATGTCTTCTTTCTGGCTGCATCTGTCAGTGTTCCTTTTCAGACTGCATTAGCATCATATGCTTCTGACTGTTTCTGTCTGTTATCTTCCTAACTGCATGTTCTTCTTCTGATTTCTATTTTTTGGACTTCATTTGTGCGCGAATTCTTTCAGACTGCATCTTCTCTTTCTGACATTGTGTTCTGTTTCTGACAGCATGTTCCCTTTCTGTCTGCATGTTTGTTTTTGCTCTGCGCATACTCTTCCTGTCTGCCTTTCTGCTTGGCCTCTTTCTGATTATCTGTCTGACGGTGTGATTTCTTTCTGATTAGCTGTCTGTTCTCCTGACTGCATGTTCTCTTTCTGAGTGCATGTTTCTTTCTGACTGCATGTTCTCATTCTGTCACATGTGAGGTGTGTTCTTTTTCAGTCTGAATGTTCTCTTTCAGCCTGTACGTTCACTTTTCTATCTGCCTGTTCTCTTTCTGACTTTATTTGCTTTCTGACTCTTTGCTTTCTGACTGTGTTTGCTTTCTGACTGCATGTTCTAATTTTGATTGCTGTTTGTTGTTCCAACTGCATTCTCTTTCTGACAGAGTGTTCACTTTCTGTGTATGTTCCCTTTCTGCCTGTGTTTGCTTTCGCCTGCGTTTGCTTTCTGTCTGTGTTTGGTTTCTTATTGTATTCACTTACTGACTGTTGAGTTCTCTTTCTGATTCCCTATTGTTATGACTGCCCATTATTTTGTTGTGAATGTGTGTTTTCTTTGTGACTGCATGTTCTGTCTGTGTACATTTTGTTGCTGACTGCATCTTCTCTTTCTGACTATGTTTTTGTGTGTTCCCTTTCAGACTGCCTGTGCATTCTTTTCTACAGTCTGTGTGTTCTCTTTCTGAATGTGTGTTCAGTTCTGACTTGGAATTCTTGTTCTGACTTTGGTTTGTTGTTCTGACTGTGGGTTCTCATTCTAACTAAGTGTTTGATTTCTGACTGTTTGTTTCCCTTCTTATGTTTTTATTCTTTCTGACTGTGTGCAGTCTCATTTTGACTGTGTGCTCTCTCATTCTGACTGTGTGCTCTCTCATTCTGACTGCAGGTTGTCGTTCTGACTGCGGCTTGTCGCTCCAGCTACGAGTTGTCGTTCGGACTGTGCGCTGCTGTTCCAAAAACGTGTTCTCTTTCTGGCTGCCTGTTGTTGTTCTGACTGTGTGTTCTTTTTGTGTATGTGTATTCTGTTTCTGTCTATGTGTCTCCTTTCTGACTGTGTATGCATGCTGTTTTTCTAACTGCATGCTCTTTTTTCTGTCTACCTGTTCCTTTCCTCTCTGTCTGTTCTTTTTCTGTCTGTGTGTACTCTAAATGCTCCACGCTCTCTTCCCAACTGCTTATTCTCTTTCTAAGCGTCTCTTCTCTTTTGGTATGCATGTTCTCTATCTGCCTGCACATTCTCTTTAAAACTACATTTTCTTTCTGACTATTTGTTCTCTTTCTGGTTGTGCATTTTCCTTCTGACTGCATCTTCTTTTTCTGACCGTGTATTCTTTCCCAAATGTATTTTTTTGTGCTTTCTGACTGGGTGTGCATGCTGTTTTTCTGTCTCTGTGTTTCTTCTCTGACTGTATACTGTCATTCTTATTGCTTGTTC